CAAAAAGATAGTAGGCTACGCAATCATTACTAATATAGTCTGACATCTCAAAGCCTCACGTACTAGGCCCGGACTTACGTCAGATAGGAAAAGACAGGTACCCGGTCCTGCGTTCAAAACGAAAGCGAGCTAGGTACATTCCGAAACAGCAAAAACTACAGCAAGCAAAAAAATCCAACAGCTACAAGGATAAAAAAACCCGCAGCGGTCAAACTGCACAGCCTTAACCAAGGCCAAAAAGTACTACAGCTAGAACAACGCACTATCCACGGCCCTGTCCGACAGCTCCGGGTTCAAATCTCAGTCACTACAGTTACGCTAGCAGCTATCAGAGGCCCTATCCAGCAGCTACAGCTTCGAATCTCCGAAAACACAACACGAGTACAATCCATTCCAGAGCGAAAAAAGAAGAAAAAGAAAAAGAAAAAAAAGAAAACAAGACAAAAAAACAAAAACACGCACTATCAGAAGTCCTATCCCCCTAACGAAGGGACAACCTTATCACTAAACAAATACCAACAAAGCCCTGTCCCTGTAACAAAAGCTGAACAGGTTAGAAAAACAGAAGACAGAAAACAAACTCCATCATCTACTGAGTTCGACATTCAAATGTCAGCGACGAGCACATCCCATCCTCTGAGAAAACTATCAACATCAAATGATGACATCTCCCTTACCCGTATTAGAGGCAAAGGTAGTTCGGATACAAGAGACAGAAAAATCCTTAACTTGCTAGGATCTAAAGGTTCATCATTCTGTGACATCAGAAAGCTGGTCACAGTGCCTTCACAATAAGTCGGGTCAGCTCCTACGGTGGGTACAGCCATTTGACAGTGTATGTCCATATGTGATCTCTCCCTTTGGAGAAGCGTTGCAATACCCGCTTCACGAGGTGTGGCGGGAAGTCTTTCATCCGCGATTCCCGAATCAGAGTCAGCACTCTCATAGGTATATGAGATCTGATGTTCGTATTCTTATCAATTCTGTGCAAATGACTCGAGATGACAGCACTTTTTTGCTGCTTACTGCCCCATGAGTGAAAAGACTGACCTGATTTAAACTCCAAACTGTCTCCTTCCCAAATGGTGCGCTCATTCTTAGCGGACTGGTAGCAGCCAATGTATGCGGGATCGTTCTAACAGACATTCTAGTTCCCAGAAAATCCCAGGAATCCGTCCCATCATGCGTGCGTTTCAGTTGCAGATTAGGTGGGTAACAGCGTTCGAAACGCTCTCTGATGCAGTCAACAGACATGGTCGTGCGCTTGTGATTCAGGACGACTAGACTCACATCGTCCATCAGTCGGAGGCCATAGACGCCGTGTCTAGCAGTCCCCAAGCTTCGCAGGAAACAGAATTCCGCATACGCACACATGATACAGGCAAGAGGTGGGCTGGTACTTTTTCCCATAGGGACCCCCACCACTTGTCTGAGCAGCACCCCTGTGGCTATCGTATATGTATGACTGAGCTCGAAGCGTATGAAGCATTTCACTTGCTGCAGATCGACAGAGCGCCAGTGGTCGTCACCTGTGGTACGGCCGAAGGTACTACCCTTCCCTCGTGTGTTGACTCTAACCAAATCACGGCCCTTGCTCACATGGTAGTCAACAATCCAGTCCACAGCTTGTACAATATCTTCGTGGGGCAGCTTGCTGAACATGTCTTTAATGTCGTAAGACATCACAAACAGGTCAGCATCTGCTCCGATCCGCCTACTAATCTTCTTATTAATAGACTCAAGGCGTGCCACTAGAGAGGCACCTGACTTGAGATTGAAATGCCAGTCGACAGGCAGTGTAGTCAACAAGTGATTCAGAGTCTTTGCTACGGCTTTGCACGTCTTCACTGTGGGTTCAGAGAAGGTAGGGCAGATAGGTCGATATCGCGTCAAGTCTTTATGTTTAGGCATCACATATGCCTCTCCAAAGTGCCCTTTCTTCTCCCAACGGACAAGACTTTGCAGTCCCAGCCTCGTCACATCCGCCTGCGTCTCAACTTTCACCAAAGCTTCTTGCCTGTCGACCACTACGTAACCTGGGTTACGTACAAAGAGCTCCAACATGGCCTCATAGTACACCTTTGGGCAAAGAACCAAAGTCTCTCCTGGGTTCCGGTCCAAAGGTGTCAGAACTAAACCATTGAGTCGATTCTTCACATCCCGCACCACGCGCAGATCCAAACACTTCATCTTAACATCAGCACTTGCTATCATACACCGGTCAACGTGAGTCCTACAGATCGTAGGTAACGTACCACGAAAATTTGCCCAACACTCGAACCCTTCACACACCTCCTTCATCAAAACCCTCCCTCTATCCGGATGAGTCAACTTCGGTATGTTGTTAGCATTGCATATCAGTGGATGCACATCATCCAACTCCTGTAGTCTGCACTGCACGTGACCGCCTATCCGAGGATAGGGAAGACCTGTACAAGAACAGGTTAACACATCAGAACGCGCATATTCGCGTTGATTGTGTAGCAGATCCGCCACAGACGGGTTTTTAACCCATACAATGCGGATCCTATTTCGTGCAGCRTTGCCAATACAGKTAGRAAGATCCAACTTCAGCACAGCATCATTCAACAGTTTCCTCACCTCAACCACTTTAATCCGRTCSTCAAACTTCAAACGCACAGTCAGCTTYGCACCAATACTCCAACCATAACAACTCCTAATCGTACGTGAAATCAACCGTCTCAAATATGCGGTAGTAGATTGCTYCTGGAAATCACCGGCAACCCCATTCAGCCTCGTCAAGACCTCAAGGCTACATCGCCGTAGATAGTCAATCCGTYGGGGGTTGCGTAGTAAGGAGACGAGAAACTTCTTGTCAGGTCCCGACTTCGGTTTCCATCGCCGTAGATGGCATACTTGGATCACTTCACCGCACTCAATGAACCGCTTGCATTCACTCAGCTTCATTCGTACGTCGTTCACCTTGACGATAGTCAAGCCGAACGCGCTACGCACCGATTTCCACCCTTTACACTAGCAGCTTCCGGTACATGTGTACAGGGTAAACTGCTTCCGATTGACCTGATCTTGGGCAGCCAACAACTGATAAAGGTCAACACACCATTCATCATCGCTACACACTCGTGCTTTCACTGGTATCACGGCACTATGCTGGTCCCCACTCGCCTTTCCGATGGTAGTCCGATGCCTTTCCCGCTTCCCTTTCCGTACATGCTTGTTACATTTCTTCAGCCTAGCCTTCCCTGATGTATTCAAAATCGGAGACCATTGTCTAATGAAAGTTTATTCCAACAAGAGTAGATCTCCACCTCGGCAGCAGTCAACAGGCAGGAGGACATACGTTTCCACCCCAAAAACTCGCCACCATTTGTATAGGTGGTTCTGTTTTTTTGCTTCTATTACAGACGGAGACGTGTTCCCTCCATCTAGTTTTTCCCTCCCTGCTCGTTTGGCCCACATACATCGCGCGACACATCGGTGAAGCTAATACATACACGCAGTTAGAAGCCTCGGTAATGCCGCGAAACCCCTGTTGTTGGTAAACGTTGAACCATGATTCAGTGCACTTGTGCAGCCAACTAATTTGATTTCGTAAAGTCAAAGCGATGACCACTAATTGATACAACGTCTCAACAGTGCAGTCCACAACTCCCTGCCTACGTACGTCAATCAGAAAACGGCATAAAGTCCAAAGGTCACCAGTGCTTCATGCATCACTGTCATCCTTGCCAGCTTCTTCGTCATCTTCTGGACGTGCCTCCGCACATGATTCTTCTTGTCCAACGGCCTCCTCCGCTCCGTTGGAGCCATATGCCACCATCGAACGCTTCTCCGCGATAGCGAGGATGGTTTGCATCTTCCGCCCTTCGAATGGTACATCTTCGTCCTGGCAAATACGTCTCAAGTCATCCATGTTGAGCAAGCCGAGCTCCCGAAGGTTGTCTGTCACGTATCTAAGCTTGCCGCATGACCCTGGCGGGGGCGGAATCTTCTTCTTCTTTGAAGTAGTCTTGAATGGCGTCCTTCTCAGGGGGGACTTCTTCAAAGGTGGGTGTCTACAACTCAGATGCAGACGTCGTTTGGCAGTACGTTTAGCAGGCGTTTCCATCGGTGGGCTATCGCCCACAAGTACATCAGCAGTCCTCTTCCGTTTGTCCGAAATGACGAGCTGCTCCGCTTTATTGCTCAATGCTTCAATATCGCTATCTTCAGATTCGTACGATGCTTCGCCTGCCGAGTAATCTTCCGCCTTCTTCTTGCCTTTGTCCGGGCCTTTCTTACGATCGAACTTGTGCTGCCATTCTTCACGCAGGCCGCCCATGTGCAGAGAGATCAGCTTCATCATCTCTTTCCTAAATTGCTCCCGCTCCAGTTCTTCCTTATGTAGTTTCTTCTCTTTCTTCATGATACAACGTTGCTTCGCTTGGCGTGCTTCCTCCGCAGCCCGTTGCTCCTCCTCTTCCCGTTTCTTCCTCTCGAGTTTTTCTTGCTTCAGCTTAGCTTTCTCCTCTCTCTTCGCGTTCTCTGTATCAAAATGCTCCTTCATCGCCGCCACAGAGCCAGCAAGCATCTCAATTTGTCGCCAAAGAGCCGGGTCTTCTGATATGGCACGCTGCTCGTGCACACGTCCTTGATGTCGTGGTGATAGCGATAGCCCCCGCTGTCCTCCTTGCCTCGACGCCCCTTCACCAGTCAATCTTGGGCACTGATTACGATAGTGCCCCGGCTCACCGCATTCATAACAGGTTGGTACAAAGCGTCTCGAGGCTTCTCTCCCCCTCTCGTACTGGCTAGAACTCCCCGGGTCAGCTGATCGTTCACGCCGAAACTCACGACCACGATCTCGTCCTCCAACTGAAATGCCCTCGCCCTGGCGATCGACATGCCGATCACGGTAATCATCTCGGCGCCAGTCTCGAAAGCTGGAGCCAGCCATAGTTGGGGGCAGCTAACCCCTCCTTAGTAACAATGATATCCCCCTGCACTTCGAATACAATTATTCTCAATAGATCCACCAAGGTAATCGAGCGGTAGAGTCCAACGTTCATCGACTACCATAACTTGTCAACATCGTAACTCTCGTCAACTTCGATACTATCATCATCAGCTTCCATACTATCTTCATCAGCTTCAATACTATCATCATCAGCTTCGATACTATCATCGTCAGCTTCGGTACTCACATCATCAACTTCAAAACTCTCATCGTCACGACAAAACAAACATAAACATGCTCACACGCACTCAGCCTACATTTCCGAGCGGGTTCACACGCGCCTTCAGCAGGTTAACTAAGATATGGTGAAATACATGCAAAGCATACATTCACAAGTACACAAGTACACRGTCGGTCTACACAATGCACACTGAGAGGCACAAAAGTACACACTCRGTAGACAAGGCACACTGAAAGGTACAAAGTACGATGATTGCTCCAGCCGGTGGGTATGGCACCCCGACCGGTTTCGACCGCCGCCACGCGGTCTCCTCAGGGGGAAGGTCCACCATACGTCATCCCTTGACAAACACCTTCGTTCCACTAACCCTCCTCCGTCGTCGACTTCTCCGGCATAAAGTCCGCAAGTCGGACGGCGTAGGACCCAAAAAGATAGTAGGCTACGCAATCATTACTAATATAGTCTGACATCTCAAAGCCTCACGTACTAGGCCCGGACTTACGTCAGATAGGAAAAGACAGGTACCCGGTCCTGCGTTCAAAACGAAAGCGAGCTAGGTACATTCCGAAACAGCGAAAACTACAGCAAGCAAAAAAATCGAACAGCTACAAGGATCAAAAAACCCGCAGCGGTCAAACTGCACAGCCTTAACCAAGGCCAAAAAGTACTACAGCTAGAACAACGCACTATCCCATGAACAAAGTCATAGCTTCGTCTTTTTTTTTTTTTTTTTTTTTCCCGAAGGGACTGTCACAAGGCTCCGATTTATTCTTGAGGAGAACCATGTGCTGGGACCCCGTCCAAGCGTCCCTTGAGCAATTATGTTGGACAATTTTAGCTTCTTCCTACTCACTGTTTCCCTTCCATTTTCATGTCGCTCTTCCCTTCGGCTATCTCCTTGGGCCTTGGCTTTTCTTTAATTGCATGTCCAAATAGTAGGCTGGGTAGCCTTTGCAATATTTTTGTCCATTTTTGTTTTGCACACACTCTACGTATTGGGACATCATGACAATTACATACCTGGTCCAGCAAATCATGTCTTTGGAACCGTGGTGCTGGTAAGAGTAGGTGACCCATAACTACCGGATTTGAAGGACCACCAGTCCGTATGAATATTCGACAGTCGGAGCGGCCTGGTTTTGCAGCAAGGAGCTTGGTTTTGCAGCAAGTGGTACCAAGATACTTTTTTCTCTCGGTCCCAAGGGGTCCCAGGTTCAAGAACTGAAGGACAGGATATGCGACCGGGAATTCCTAGGACATGTTTTTGTTTCTGGAGAACAGCGATACTGTACTAGCCTACTAGGCTTTGGAGATGCTGCTCACTGTTACAGGGAACAGGCTATACATTCTTCCTCTATGAACCACAAAACACTTTGAAATTCTTTTTTTTTCCCACGATTGCAAACATCAAACATACAAAATTCTCCTCGGCTGGCTATCGCGAAGACCGAGCATTTTGCCAGTAGCTGTGCCCCCCAGATGCTCCCCCCACCCCCATCGAGTAACAGCAGTGTCTAAAGGGCCAACACTCTCCCAGACACCACACACAACCACACACACACATGTCAGGTAACGACCCTACCAACACACGTGTTGGCTGAAGACCCTACCAATACCGTCCAGGGGAACGAGCCGACTATCTTAGTTGGTTGGCAACAAGCGTGCCCCAGGCTGTCAGTGACCTCCTGAATGCCTGTTGCATGGCCCAGGCGCCCCCACCCTACTCCCTGACCACCATGATCGATCAGGGCGGGGGTCAACATGCATCCCCTTGATTGTGATAGGTAGCTATGCTTGCAAGGGTTCCCTGTATAGGCTTAGGAATAGTGATAGGTAGGTATGAAAAGATGAATTTGAGAGAGGCCTCACTTTGGGGATGGTTGAATACCCCATAAAACCATTCGCAGCATGCTGCTTGTTGCCAGCTTGCCATTTGAGAGAGAGAGAGAGAGAGAGAGAGAGAGAGAGAGAGAGAGAGAGAGAGAGAGAGAGAGAGGGAGGGAGTGACGGAGGGAGGGAGGGAGGGAGGGAGGGAGAGAGACACAGAGAGAGAGAGAGAGAGAGAGAGAGAGAGAGAGAGAGAGATGCTGATATTGGCAGGGATAGGATATTTGAGTGTGTGTGTGTGTCTGTGTAAGAGAGAGAGAGAGAGAGAGAGAGAGAGAGAGAGAGAGAGAGAGAGAGAGAGAGAACATATGACAGTCTGATCAAAATATGTGCTGTTTAATGCACAGATTAGTTTGTAGGCGAAGTTATCTTTTTTTTTTTGTTCTGTTTTGTTTCTCTGATGCGGCAGAACCTAATCTACATCCCTCAGCCGATGTTTTCCGAAATTTTCTCGTCCTGGGAAATCAGACGTAAGGACCATCAAAGTTGGGGTACTCGAAATTTTGCACTGGGTTTGATGCAAATATTTTTTTGTGGATTTTTTTTTTTTTTTTTGAAACAACAGCGGACAGCAGGTTTTGAGTTCGTAAAGGCAAAAAAAAACACGCGAAACGGCAATTTCGGTCGAAAAGTGTTCGTTGGGCCTTTGTTTTTTGTTTGTTTCCCATCTGACAACACGGCCGACCCCTGTAAAATATGACACCCGGCCTGACACCACGGCCGCGGTACTTTCATTGCCCTTTTCGAACTCACACCTGGTGTCTTTGCCGATGCACGTTCTTTCTGCCCCTATGAAACTATGATGTGACATGAACATAATTCGGCATGGTAACCGCGGACCCGGACACCGGACACTTCCGGACTGTCTTCCGGACCAGTGTCTGGACCGGTCCGGACTGTCCGGTGATCCG